AAAGTTTGTGAACATCTGCTTCAGAAATTATCTTTAAAAGTTGGTTATGATAGTTTTGCTATTTTACTATTCTATTACTGGATACAGCATGCTTTTGTATAGCTTTCCAGCAGGAGAAGAAAGTGAGCTGGAGATCTTAATAAATATTAATGAAGCTGGAAATTCTGCATCTCTAGGTGTTCTCCACTATGAAGCTATATATGTTTGCCTGTTTTAAGTGATGTGGATAACTCAAGATTAGAAAAAAGCAATTAATTTCAGTGAAAACATGCAAGCAGTGAGAGGGAAAACAGAAACTGGACTCAAATTCTTTTTGACACTTTTTAAAACAGTGATCACGTATTTATCATTTGCAAAAGACAAGGAAATGCCTTGTTCCAGGATACTTCTCCTTAGTGTCAGCACAGTGCATTTCCACTGCCTGTGACAGAGCCCCCACTACCACCAGGAAGCTTTTTTTGTTTAATGTCTGTGAAGGAATCACAACATGGTCATCAACTCACATGTGGCCACACAAAACACACACCCACTTTCTTAAAAAGGTCAGCAATGCTAACCAAAATTAACAGATCGTGCGAATCCACAGTGAGAAGACATAAAGGGGAATAAGGAGAAGGACATATGGACTAAGAGGAGAGAGAGTACTCCCAAACTCTGTGTCCCCTATCAATATGTATGTGCACACATATGCTTACAGTAAAGTCCAGGGTGACTGACCCCAGTTTTTGTGGGGTGAACCTCCCTGCCCTCACCTCATCACCCTGCCCTCGCACCCCTACCATCCCTGAGGTTCTGTGCCCCTCACGCACATTACACGAGCGCCAGCCTCCTCTCCCTGTTTTCTCACCCCTTGCAACCCTGGTGCTAATCTTTGTCCCCCTTCTGTTGCCTCCCGACACTTCCCCCTTCCAATCTCCTGCTGATGCCTCTTGCACCATCTCCCCAACCTCTGCTGGTGCCTCTTCACTCTGCTCTGACTTCCTTGGTGCTTCCTTCCCTGTCCTCGCTGCCACCTCCAGGCACGTTGCCTTGCAATTGGGATAAGGCTGCCCCTTCTTGGAAGCTGGACACTGCTCGGCACATCACCAGTGCGTTGAAGGCATCACGTCTCACCAGTGCATTGAAGGCATCACGTCTCACCTTATTTCTTCCACAAAGTAGGAAAAACACAGAGCAGAAAGAGGACCATACCATCTGAAACTCGATGAAGATAGGGATATTCCAAAATCCTGGGGCTATCAAGTTTTACCTGATACACCAGGGAAAGGTGAACCTTTTATAAACTTACAACCTTTGCACTTCATATCTTCCATGAAAAAATGCAATGATGTCTGCTTGCTCTTAAGGAAATCTAAAAAAATTCAGGTAGAACCAAAAAAAAAAAAAAAAAAAAAAAAAAAGACCTGGTTCTTAACCAGAACCAAGCAAAAATCTGAAACCATCAACAGATTTTATACATATGCTTCCATACACTTATTATTCTGGCCTGTGCACCTTTTTCTAGCATCATCTTACTGCCATCTACAGTATTTGCTGAGCAAAAAGCATCTTTCTGGTAAGCAAAACAATAAAGCAATAGAAAATCTGTGTTACTTGAAGTCTGGCGAATTACGTGCGCTATTGTAAAGTTATTCTTTGCCACACAACAGCACAGTTAAGTCACCTATTCAATCCTGAACATTCCAAGTCTCTTTTACTTGCATACACAACTCCTTTTCACTGTCAAGTTTAAATCCCTTAAAATCACAGACAAGTCGTAACTAACAACACTTGCATAAAGATGCATTATTTTAGCATCCATACAACTGGAAACCTCAGAGTGATTTCTGTGAGTTAGCATCACAATAAACCACCTTTTGGCTATTTATTTTCTTGCACTCCCATCTGCTACCTCCAAGCAAAGCCTGGACATTGACTTACTAGACTGTCTTTTTCTAAGCCCTAAATGTTTAAATGTTTAACTGACTTTTCTACAGTACCACCCTGTGGTTTTCTCTCTCTAGGGTGTCACTGACAGGCATGTTTGAAGACTGACAATATTGCAAAGTAAAATTTAGTTTGCAGTTGGGGAATAAAACAAAGTTGGTGAGAAGGCAAGTAATACCACTGCCATTGTTACAGAGACACTGTGAAGTAACCATCTGAAGAATGTTTATAATGCCCACGTAGATTCCTTCTATTCCCCAAATAAAAAGAGTAATAGTCGAAGTATGTTTAACAGATGAATGCTTACATTACATATTAAAAACCCTGTTTATCTCATTAACATCATCTACAAAAAAAGAAAAACAAAGAATATGGCAATCTGCACACTGCTGTAAAGAAAAACATTAAGACACGAGGTAGGAATAGCTTTGTAAACAGCAATGTTCAAACAGATCCCAGAACTATATCAGACACTTTTTCTAATGTCAATCAGTGAGCTGCAATTCTTCTATTCAATTTCTATACTGTATACTGATGCAACAAGCTGTAAAAGTATGGCTCTACCAGCAAATTTCCAATGGAAGTTACTGACAACAGTAGAACCAAACAAGCTAAAAAGGAAAACAAACAAGCAAACAAACAACATGCAAACACTGTACTG